GCTCTCCGATCCTTTCCGGACAATGGCGTCAGATGTCATAACAAAGTCGAAAGCACTTAACTTTATATTTTTACGCAGCGAGAGAGCGTTATGTTATGTCAAGTTTAATAGTCCAACTGGTTATGTGAATCGGTCTTTCTTATCGGGTGAGAACTATGAAAGCCCGAACCCTTAGTCACCATTTTCTCAATTTACGTCTGCCACCCCTGGCTCCAGAGGTCCGTTGTCAGAAATATCCAGGAAATGCTGCTTCGCCGCGAACTATCAAGCTCCAGATAAATAAGGTACCACTCCTTTGAAACCACTGAAATAAAAGTTGGGTTTAATTGCTCCTAAGATATCTCAACTGATCCTTATCAAACTCCAGTTTAAAGCGAATGGATATATCTCAGTTGCCCAGCTACTTGATCCCTAGGAAATTTTGGAGATGGCCTATTTTGCCGTAACTTTCTCGACCGAAGATACGTAACAATTATAACTATTGCTCGAGCCCGAATGGGCTGTGAGTCAATAGCCCATGAGGCCGAAGGCCGAATGGGCTATTGACTTAGAGGCCATGGGGGCGAGAGGAAAATTTGTTTTAGTAAAGTCCAACTAGTTGGTCAAAAATATCGAGACAAAACAACGTTATCTAGCAAAACGTGATTCAGCCGCCATTGTTTTGGTTTTCAAAGCCGGCGCTTTTCGCTACTAGTGGGCTATAACATATAGCCTAGTAGTAGCTGAACCAATCAGAACGTAGCATTGATAATAGACCACTAGTTGAAATTACTAAAGTAAGATACTTAACCTGTTCCAGGTTTGTCAACAAGACGAGCGGGTGAAAAATCGAGCGCGGCTGCAAATAAAGAAGGGGGCTACTAAAAAAGAAAGAAAGGAGACCCTCCTTGCAGCCCGGGTGTCAGTCTCCTGACGTGGTCAATCGGATAAAAATCGACATCGGAAATCGATTGATATCATCGATATTAATCGATTTAATCCACCGATTAATATTGATTGATATCGGAAATCAATAGAAATCGAAGTCACAGAAAAAATAATTTATCGATTGTTATCTAGACGGTTCACAGTCCCCTATTTTTCCGTGAGATCGTCGAGATCGAGCGCGTCTTACCATTAATGGCGGCCATCTTGATTTTCAGTCGTACCGAGTCTAACCTGGGGATGAGTATCAAATCTACTTAGAGGGCGGGGGACGGTTTGGCGAGCAGGCGAGAAAATTTTTCTCGCCCCCCACCCCCTAGAGCTATAATCCCCGACGCCCGCCTCCTCGGTACATCTAAAAATCAAGATGGCCGCCATTAACGGTGAGACCCGCTCGATCTCGACGATCACACGGAAAAATAGGGGACTGTGAACAGTCTAATTGTTACCGATTAACAAGATCGATAACAATAGATAGGAATCGATAGTAATCGATAAAAAATCATTATCGATTTCTATCGGAAAATCGTCGAAATAAATCGAAGTCAACTTTTTTTCTTTACCGATTATCGGATACATCGATTACTATCGATTGATATCGGTTATCGGCTTATCGATTAACTACGTATATCAGTCTTCCCCTCCTCCCCCGCCGACTTTTTTCTTGCGTTTCCCCTATTCTTTTTCACTCCTCCAGGCGAGTAAAACACATTGTCAAATGAAGAATTTTAGAGCCATTTTGCGCGCCGATGGGGTTTTCCTACCAATCTTTTTTTTTTTCTTAATTAAAAAAACCCGGTCCGGTTATGTGAAAATTATGGTAAAGTTTGATATTATTGATTGATTATTGGCTCAGATGCAAATTGCTTGCAAGAAGCCTTGCTGCGCGCGCTAGGCGGTTCTAATAACGGACTACGCCTCTGCAAAAGCTATATCACGTACGATTCAATTTTTGCAGGAAAAAGACAACGCGTAGAGGAACAGACATCAAAACTGACCGAAGACGTGAAAACAAACGGCGTAGCTGAACTGCTTAAATTTAATAAAGTCAATAAAGGTCGGTAGACTGCAGAGGAGAGAATTGAAGATCACACTGATATGAGATAGTGAATGCTTTTTTGTGTCAAGTCTTGATCCGAAACGAACCCTCTTTGCACACTTACCTTGCTTTTTTCGGCATTGCTGGGGTACGTCACGTTGCCATGTTATGGCATGGGTTACGCACTTGGCACACATCTGAAATAATCTTTCTCTGGTTGCAATATAAAGTTACTCAGATATACGACTCAAGAGTGGACTGCGTTTCGATAAAAAACAGCAGAACACACAAGAGTCATCAGATGGCTCATTGTCGAATCTTCGTTAATGATTAACGATTTTCAAACAAACCTTAAGTCATTAAGAGCATTTATTATTGTTCTAATAAGGGACCAAAGTAATTGAGAAATATAATTCATCATTTACGGCCATTTCTTGCTGAAATACACCAGTCATACATTTGGCATTGTTCCAATACACAACGACCTTGATTGCACTACTTTTTAACGCGCGCCGTTTTTCACGTGAGCTGAATCGTATGCGAATTTTGGTCGGCTGAATCGTTTCAGACGCCGATCATTATTCCAGCCCACCAAAATTCGAATAAGGGCAAAAATGCGCATTTCGGTTGAAACCTTTTAAAAATCTATCCCTGGTGAGCCGACCTAAATTTGTAGCTGTTTCGAATTGATTCAGATGCCATGCGTGTTGAATTCGATTCGGCTCATTTGAAGTACCGCGTCTGAACCAGGTCTAAATGCGACCCATGGGTCGCAGTTTAAATTTTCAGTTTTTAGTTTTTGTACTGTTTATTTTGTGTAGAGATGAGTAAAAACAATTACTCCTCAGTAACATGTTTAATTTTTTGTCGCGTTTAATAAAATTGACAGGTATCACTTTAAAGACCTCAATACGTGTCTATCCCAAAGTTTTAATATATCTTGTGTGTTAATTGTGGTAAAAGCGTAACATTCTTACAACAGGATGTCAGCACAGGATACCAGCTAACGTTCTTTTCTAAATATAATTCAAAAACATGCAACCCAGTGAAATCTACTTGAATCGTAAAATTTTCTTTTTTATGGTTCATCTGGTAAAATATGGATTTGTGAAGTCTACATGTTGCTTAACTAACAGTGGAGTTCCAAATATTTATCACTTTTTTTAAGCCCGTAATTCATTAGTTATGAGTCCGTTTTCCTACCCCGATACACAAATCAATTATTGCAAACGCCAAAAAAAAAGATAAATGAATAAAAATTTTATTAAACGGACGGCAAAACTTTTTCAACAGATGGCAGATTTCCAAAGTGCCTTCTTTTAACAAACTACCAACCAATTTTGTGATTTAAACTCATTATCATACATCACCATAGTCCAAAACAACAGTGACACAAAGGGAAGTAAAATTTAAACCAAGGATAAGATTCTTGCCAACTCATTTAGGTGCAACTCAGTTTAACTGGCAAAAAGAAATTTCTTCTTACCGTACATTTCACCCAGGTCACCTCATTTCGTCTTTGCCTGTAATGTCTGCAGTCTTATAGTAGTTCTGAGTAGCTTGCTTGAGCGCACTTAAATGTCTTTCATACGATTAGAATTTTTCAAAGACAACAACAGAGGCTTCTGCAAAGTTTGTATCCTTTACTCTCGTTGTAACACTGAAGTATTATAGAATTTCAGTTTCCTTAATTTCAGACCTTGTTGTCAAGTAACACACAGTTGAATATCACTGACTATGGCACCTCCGAAATTTATAATTCTACAATCAGCTGTTCAAATAACTTGTAAACAACACTTAGTAATGGTAACAGGACTGAGTGGAGTCCAATTCGGTCTGTAATCATACGAGTGATTAACAAAATCGGACGAGCACGTAGCGGGAGTCCGATTTGTTTGATCACGAGTATGATGACAAAACGAATTGGACGACACAAAGTTCTGTTACCAATTAATCATAACTTAAACAAAATTTGTGATATATAAGGCTCTTTTTTAAAATCAAAACAGAAGAAATTCCAATTTTTTTTGCTGGCAGTGAAAAAAAGCCATTTAAGCGCGCGCGTGATGGCGCGTACTGTCCAATTACTTAGGCATGACGCGTACTGTCCTATTAACCTGTCCAATAAAGGCTGAAATCAGGGCAGTTGATAGCCAATCAGATTTGAGAATTCTGTTATAGTTATGATTAAAGAAAGAATTCTAAAATCATGTGCGTAGGAGTACTACAAAATACTCAGTCTGAAAACGCGTTGACTACTTTTTGCACATCCGCAAATATAATTTATTGCATCAACAGTACACTCTGTGAGAAGATCTACATAAATAAAGCAGCCGAAAAAAATATGCAACCATTCCCGCCTCATGTGTAGTGGGGACCTTTACGCCAAGGTAGTTTAGCCGCTTTTACAGCTTCATTCGTACTACTGCGGTAATATTCGCCGTCGATCATGGCAGTATTTCATGTTAGTGTTGAAAATTTACGTATAATTTAGCTGAAATTTTAAATGGTATGTTAGTCCTGATAATTAGCGAAGGTTCACAGCATTTTTTTTTTAATCTTGACCTTAGATTCCATTTTACAGTTCAGGCCCCGGTTGTTCAAAAGTTGGATAGCGCTATCCACCGGATAAATCACTATCTAACTTTTACCGTGGTAAATGACCCTTTTACCGCGGAAAATGAACCTTTAGCGCGGGAAATTGACGTGGTGTGTGTGACCGGACTTTCCCGAGATAAATTTACCACGGGAAATATCCATGGTTACATCAGAAAGAAGAAAGAAACCGCCCACGACATTTAACGTGGTAAATAGCTAAGGATTCACCCAAGGAAAGAGAGCCAATTAGGTTTCTTCAATTGACATTAACATAAAACTGCAAAAACGATTATTGCTCTGATCAAACAAATCAAATGCTGTAACAGTCATTGAGTCTATTAACACCTGAATAAGCAGTGTTGCTCGAGACAAAATATTTGGGACAGAAGAGAGCTGAAGTTGAGCTGACAGTTCGCGTAAGACTTTGAATTGAGCCAGTCTATGCCTGTAAGACAGGTCCAGCTTTCTTTGCCTCCAGCTGTACACCAGCCCCAGCAAATCCTGTCCCACCACGCTGCAATGGAATGATATCACTGTCCTTCAGCTTTGCTCCAGTAAATGGGCAAAGCATGTCTTTCTTGATTAACTTCTCAACACAGTCCATAGTTACGACATGCCCTGTGTTCTTTAAAACAGCACAAGGTACAGAATTACCCAGCGTATCATGAGTGACAGCACATTTGTATCTCTCAGACTTGGCTACCATTGGCCGGCCATCATCTTTGTCATCTATTGGGGTCAGTTTAACAGCCACAAGATCCTTGATTTTTAAGGGCTTCCCACTCATTGGACAGTATGTCTTGGTGTCTGGTTTTTTGAGGAGTGTTGGTTCTGCTTGTGGCGTTAAGGAAGGAACCCAGAAACTTGGAAGACTTTTGTCTTTGCCTTTTGAAGTGCTATCTGTAGTTAACAGAAATGATGAAAGGAATCTATTAAATGCGTAAACATACTGAAAACAAATAATGTGGTGAAAAAGTATGCGTTGCCCAAGAAGGATTTTGACACACACAAGGCAAAATGACAGAAGTTCTTCAAAGAGATTAATCTACTCCCCTGTGCTTTTGCAACGTGTCATTATAGCTTTCATGGCTCCAGAAATAATCTTCAACTTACCACAACAGTGAAAAAAAAAATAGAACAACAAAAAGGGAAAGTCAGAACAGGCATTCCTTTTCACAGTACATTGTACAACGGCTCGAAAAAAGTCCAATTTGGTCGTCTGGGAAGAGTATATTTTCTTGCAGGGCAAGTAACTTTTCAAGCTAACTTGCTTGACTTGTAAGTGAGGCCAGGTCCAGTCAAGTCATCCTTTAGCCAATTATTAACTAACACAAGCAAGTAATTGGCCTGGGCAAGCAAAACACAAGACCTGCTTGCCCAAAGGAAGCGCTGGAAATCAAGTTCTCTTCATGTTCTGAGTGGGATGTTTAAAGTAACACCCTACTCTTGTTTTCCTCTTCATGCCTTTCCATATCATGCATACACTGTAAATCACTCTACCCACAACACCTCACCTTCTGTCAAAAACCAATCGTTCAGGTTGACTTATATGCATTGCATTAAAGGTGAATACATGTACACGTAAACAGACTTAACTGGCAGGCACAATTACTGGTGGACCCGTCTGCATTGTGGACCAAAGATTACCGACACATGCTCAAAACTGAGCTTACATATTTCTTTACACTGAAGAATGGGTTACAATCAGAACTGCATCAGATCCAAAGCCTGAAAGCAGCCCAGAAGCAGTACCGAGATTTTCACTTACAGAGCTTCAGTAAACTGATTTTTCTGATGAGTCAATGCAACAACTGGACTGGACATTCAAAATTACTATCCGTAAACCATCTGTCATCAGGAATTCGTACTCTCTTCCCGATTGGAATTGGTTTTGGACTCAAGTAAAAAATGAAAAACTGCAAAACCATAAATATTATTGCCAAATTTAAATATTTCATTTTTGTGAGCATTTTTTAATGCTTTAAAAGACCCTCCTGGTTAACCAATTGCAGTCCCGTGAACACAGGAAATTGTATTTTAGAGACTCCAATTTTAAAAATTTCACAAGGGAGAATGCCCAAAGCACTCAACATTCACTCCTACAGCACGAACAGTGTGAGTCCACCAGCTGAACCTCTCTATCCAGTACTTCCACATGCTACCCAAAACCCTGCACAGTGCTCTTCTCTTGTGCACAGAGAAACCAATTTTGGGTAAAGTAAGGTTCCCAACCCCGACAAGGCAGCCATAAATCTCCGATACCATTATAATATGGTAAAAAAAAGACTGTACTGTATAAATGAAAGCTACCTTCTGCTTACAGTTGGTAGGTTTGATTTATGCAATACAGTCTGTAGATATTTTGGTGTGGTTGAGAGACCTGCACCGTGTAAATCAGGACATTATCATTTTCGCTTACCGCTTGATGTTGACGGTGTTTGATCATCCACCACAGAAGAAGGTCCAGCAGCACTTGTTTCCTTTGTCACAGTGAATGCAGAGGTTGTTTTTGTAGTGAGTCGTTTCTCCATGTTCACAAATGATTCCACCTTCGATCGCTCCTTCTCCTCTTTTTTCCCGAGCTCTTTAGCCTCTTGCTTCTTCTTTTGTTTCTCGAAAGCTTTCATTTTCCTCGCAGCTTCGGTTTTCTGATGAAGAAGACATTCTAATATAGCTTCTCTGTCGTATAAAAAGCCATCTGGAGTGACGACTGGTTCTCGGCAAGGCTGAAGAGTCAACGAGCAACAGTCGAAACTTTTTACTGAATCTTTACCCAATCGCACAGCTTTACTGCCATATCCGGACTTCTGAGTATCCTTCTTTCGTTCGTGATAGGAATAAACTGTCCCTGCGGTACAATTTTTCGCGTGCCTTGTCATTGTGGCAATGCTTCAAAGTTTTCGAACAGACGACGAAAGATGGCGGCGATAATTTCGACGTGGCGTGGATCCTAAGCCCGACGTGGCTCCTTTGGCAAGGGAGGGGTAAGATATAAACTATTTTTGAACATTTGTTTATAAATGCTTAGAAAATTTAGACATTTCTTCACTTAATGTTGCTAAAAAAACGCCTTAAAATATTTGCTTCAGTCGACGCACACTTAAGCTGTTGACTGATACAATTTCAAGTACTAACTTCGCCTCTTTGTTCCCCACCCCCACCCCGCCTAGCACTCTCAGTCCAAGATGGCTTCCAGAAGGTTGTTTCATGTCGCTCGCGGATTATGCGGGCTTCGTGCAGCGCACTCCAATCATCGTTTCAATCTTGCTAGAGCCTATTGCTCAGGTAAGTCTGAAGTATCTTTTTTACGGTTACAATTTATTTATTGTCAAGAAAACAACCAACAAATTGTCGCCTACGGATCAGTGGATTCAGCAGTACTTACGAATGGTATGGGGTGAATTATGGTAAGACATTTTTGTGTGGATTTGTCACGTTATTTTTCTCTTGGTACTTAAGGACTTCATAATTTATAGTAAGGAGGAGCGTTACATTAAGGGTTACTAATCAATCAGCTGTTCATCCCATGGGCCATTCCATTTTAGATACAATCCCTCCCCTCCTGCCCCATCCGCGGTAACGAAGTAGTTTGAAATTTTCCTAACCTTCAGAGAAAAACTCGTTTTTTTCCCAAATGGCTCAACAACTGCACTGATAAATACATGTGTAATAGCTAATAAATAATTTTTTGCTTTTGTGATACTTCCCCCCAGAAAATCTGTTGTTCAGTCCTACAAGACCCTACAATCTTCAGAAATACCAGTTTCTTTTTTTAATTCCCCTTCAGTAAATTTTATTGATTGGGGAGGGGGGCTGGCTATATTGAATTAAACACCCACCAGCGTGGAACTCAGGCAATCAAAGGGGCTTTTGTTGAAGCTATCAGGGCCACCACGGGGGAATATTCCAGATTTCAAGTGATGAGGATGATCGAATGGGGGCAAAAATCAAAATCCAAAAAAAATCCCTACACTACAAAATTAACCCCCAGAAATACCATGCCGAATTTCTGAGTGGTAACAAGTTTGGATGTACTTTATTCACAGAACTACTCTGTACGTGGCTAGGATACGTGGGCGCTACAACAAATCTTTAGATTGTATTGAATACCCCAAAAAATCCCTACTTAAATCAAGCCACCTAAACAAAAATACTTGCCACATTTTCCTGCCCCCCAAAAAACCCAGAATCAAAATTTCAACCCTGTGTTGTCTTAAGCTACACTTCAAACAACTCGATAATCTTGGGTTATGTAGGGTTATGTGATCCAAAAGATCAATTTTTTACAAGATTCGGAGTCACCTGTCACCTAACTGCTTGCACTCCTTTAAAAGAGTCTGTTTGATTGGGTATTTTTTGGACAAATGCCCCATGGTCCAGGTCTTTTCAGGCAGAATTCACTTTCAGAATAAATACCAGATGTTGTTTCATTGACCTCCAAGATAAACTAACTAATAAATGGGTAATAAATGGGTTATTATATTATAGCTAAGAGTTTTGAGATGATTAAAGCTGAGAAGAAGGGAGAAAATCAAAATGTTGGCTTCATTCAGCTGAATCGACCCAAGGCACTGAACGCTCTGTGTGATCAGCTAATGGCCGAAATGCAAGATGCTTTAGATGACTTTGAAAATGACAAAACTGTAGGTGCTATTGTCATTACAGGAAGTGAGAAAGCTTTTGCCGGTAAGTGTGGTTTGATCCATAAAGCATCCATATGCAACCTATGATAGCCTGCAGTAAACCTCTTCATTTGCTTGGAATTTTTTTCCTTCTTCCCCCTCTTACCCTGCTGTATAGAGCCTGTCCTCAGGCTTAAACCCAATGGATGGCTATTGGAAATTTCAAAGGGAAGGGAGGACTTAAAGAGAACAATTTTTTTATAGTAAACATGGTGCAAAGAAAGTCAGTTTTACAGCTTGAAACTCTGATTAGGCAAGCTGTAGCTAGCATGTACTAGCCCAAAAGTCATTTCAACTAGCCTGAAAAAAATTTGATGAGCAGGATTGATTACTGTTCTTCTCTTATTCAAATTCCTAAAAAAATATCACTTGCCCATCGGGCAAGTTGAAAACAGAATTCACTAGCCCAGTAGCAAAATCCACTAGCCCCAGGCTATCAGACACTACTTTCTTTGCACGCTGGTAAAGTATCACTGGAATTGCCAGTGATTATTTGAAAAGCTAAGTTATATTTTTGTTTTTCTTCTTTTGTATTGGTCCTCATTACTACAAATAACTGATGATTGTGGAAGGTAGACTGTTAAATTATTATATAATTTTGTAGTGAGTTTGCCATTAGATAGCAGAAGTAGTACAACAGAGATTAATTTTTCTTTTCCTATTTTACCTTGTCCTCATATTACAATCCTCAGCTGGGGCTGACATTAAAGAAATGCAGAATTTAACATATCAGAAGTGTCTTCTTGGAGATTTCCTTGCTCACTGGACACGAGTGGCTAGATGCAGGAAACCTGTTATTGCTGCAGTCAATGGATTTGCTGTAAGTTTCAGTCAAACCTGTCCCTAAGATACAGACACCATACTGGTACACAGCCAAAGTCTGTATAGTGTTCCCCCTGTCTAGTTACTGCAAGTATTTTGCTGTGTCCTCACTGGTTCTACAAGGTAACCAGTTGTACATGATTATCCACATTTATGCTTTGTTAAAATATTAGGATGCTCACCAAAGTTAGAGCTTACCAGCCGGAACAGTAATTTTGGGAATAAAATGGGCTTTCTTTAGAGCACTTATACTAATAACCCATTACAGTGGTGAATAGTGTTTAGGAAAGGACTGATTTCATTTGGCTTAACAGTTCTGATTTTCTAAATTCTCCTTACAACCGGTCTTGTTTGGTTGGCCAGTTTTGATTTATGGAAAGTGTTGAATATTGTTTTTCCTTCTTATTTGCTTACAAAAGTAATGAAAGGCAACTAACAACAAAGTGATTGTCGGTTTAAATTATAGCTTGGTGGTGGGTGTGAACTGGCCATGATGTGTGACATCATTTACGCTGGAAACAAAGCCAAGTTTGGTCAACCTGAGATTTTACTGGGAACCATTCCAGGTTTGCCTTAAACAGAACATTTGTTTTTTCCACTGACTCCTAAGGGAACTCACTTACTTACTTAAAAACCCAATCTTTATGGTGTAAAATACCACAATNTAAATTATAGCTTGGTGGTGGGTGTGAACTGGCCATGATGTGTGACATCATTTACGCTGGAAACAAAGCCAAGTTTGGTCAACCTGAGATTTTACTGGGAACCATTCCAGGTTTGCCTTAAACAGAACATTTGTTTTTTCCACTGACTCCTAAGGGAACTCACTTACTTACTTAAAAACCCAATCTTTATGGTGTAAAATACCACAATTACAATCAGTACCATGTAAAAAGTTATGCATCCCCTAGGGGCTTTAATTTGAAAGTTCTGATCCTAACTTACCGTTGTTGCTTCATATGTTTCGACGTCTTTGACACGTTTTGGTCTTATATTTGGTTCCCTCACGCGGTACTTACAATGCACTTACGTTCTTGTACAAGTAACTTGTAAGTAGTTGCTTTTTTCACCGTTTTTATGACGTTGTGAAGGCGTTGGTCGTATTTATTGACGTATTTTGGTGTATTTGCGAGTTGTTAGCCCTTTCAATCCTAGACCGACTTATAGCAGGATGAATTTTGAGCTCTAACTTTTGAAGCTGTGGACGAAATCCCGTGATGTTACCATTCAAATGAAACTTCTTTGGTAGAACGTTTGCCTGGTGCTTTTTATTTCTTAGGATTTTACGAAGGAATTTTTCGTGAATTTTTCTTATTGGGCACTATTATGGATAAAGGGTTAAGATTAAATATATCGGTTACCTAGCGACTGAGTCAAAGTCGTAGTCGGAGCCTAAAATAGGAAGCGTAGGTTGTTATTATCTAGTTAAAACAAGTTTCTGATTCCGCTTATGCCACTGTTGTTTATGATCTAGTAAAAACAAGGTTACGGGAATCACAAGCAGAAACGAACCCGGCCAGCAGAGCTTAAAGGAGGCTCTCTTGATAGGGTCTCAGAAGCGGAGCAAATAAACCAAACACAAAGCGTAAGAATGAACACCGTGATTGGCTTATTCTTCCGCCTTTGAGCTTATGCTGTCATATTAGATATAGGAGTTATTTAAAAAAAAGGAAAAAAACGAATTAGGAATACTTTTTAGAATTGAATATGGGTCTCCAACTGACTCGCGTCTTTACGTATTTTAAGGTGCTGGTGGCACTCAACGTCTTCCAAGAGCTGTGGGTAAATCACTCGCCATGGAAATGATTCTAACAGGGAATCCTATAACAGCAGAAGAAGCGCAAAAATCAGGTAACTTTTGTTCCGAGTAATAGTGGCTGCCTTGGGTCAATGCATGAGTCTGTAAAAGGGTTATGAATGAATGTTGCTAGTGTGTTAAGTAAACGAACGCTAAGCTATCCAACTAAATGATACTGATGGGCTGCCCAACTAGCAACAGGTAGAACTGTGAGCCATATGCGCGGCGACTGAAGACATGCAGTCGTCGCAACACGGCGGTTAGAGCCGGTACTTAGAGCTGGAAACTTCTGAAGACCGACGCCACTTTAATTACTACGTCATACTAACTTCTACTGGGTCAAGTTCTGAACATAAGAAAGGAGATGTTATAGCGGGTAAGAATACCACACTGATACCCGGGATAGTTTGGGTGGGAAGAAGGGCCCGCGCGCGAAACATGGAAGCGATCTGTGAAGAGTTTCACTCCAGAAAAATAATTTTATGTTCGTTTTTTACTAACTCGATACGTCCGTCAACTTAATTCAGTTGACAAAATAAGTTAAATTCCATGTGCCTCACTTCTCACAGCATTTTTCACTCTGTCAAAGCCTTTTGGCCACGGAGACGAGTTATGGCAATTACAATTTTTTGGACATTTCAATAGAAATTAAAAGTGAATTTTTTCCGTCATTTGTAGGCCTGGTTAGCAAAGTGTTTCCTGCTGAAGAGGTCGTGAATGAAGCCATCAAGACAGCGGAAAAAATATCTAGTTTATCAAAGATTGCTGTGCAAATCGCCAAAGAAGCTATTAATACAGGTATTACAGGACAATCAATTGTCTGTTAGAGTCGGGCAAATGTAGTGCTATTTTAGTGCCATTTTAGTTTTTTTTCTCGTAGTAATTCTTGATTTTCCTTTTCCTACTTTTAAATTATTCACAATTGTAAATAGTTTTCTATCGTGAACATATATTTAGTTTTTAATTTGAAATTGTTAATATTACTTATTGTTCAAATGTAGTGCCATTTTCGTTTCTGAATTTTCTAAAGTGAAGCAGTCTAGTTTGAAAACTATACTTTAAGCCACTGCTAAAACATGAGCCATACACAACCCATAATTCATTGCTTCGCTTTGAGGAGGTCTAGCGCTCTAGGGATGGGAGGGGTGGGTGCGTGTTTTGTCGAACTTCAATGTGGGACAGTTTTAGGGACGCTGTCACCTCTTTATGGCCTCTTGAGAGGACAAGTCGTCAAGTCACATTGCCATGATAGCAACATTTCTGGATAACAACAAACCAAGTGAATTCGCACTGTTTCAAACTCATCGATCCTATTCAATTTCATTGAATTTGTCAAATGTTGGCGAAATTTTGGGGGGTTGAATCCGAAAGGACCTTATCTAAGTTTAGAAAAGGAAAAAGATCATTTTTATGTTTTGTTCACCTACCCCATAAAGCGGGCGCGTGACATGAGGAAGTTTCGTGTCGCAGTCCTCCAACGACGGCTAAGAAATGTACAAGGTATTAACGTGACGTCACACCTCTCCTGTCTGTTGCGAGGTTGCTTTGCGCGGGAAACTGGGTAAGTACTCCATGTAGGCACTCATATAACGGTCCAATCATATCGTAGCTAGGCTCAAAATGGGCAATTTACGGCTGCTAATTTACCTTTTTCAACTGAGACGACAAAAATTTTCTTATTCCCTCACCGACTTAATAGCACAGTTTGTTTGTTTGTTGTTGTTTGCTTTTAACTACCGGTAATTCCAATTGTCTTGCTTTTGTCTTTAAACCAACTAGAAATGATTCGCTGCTTTCTTTGTTTCAGGATATGAGACTTCATTATCAGAAGGTCTGCATTTTGAGAAAAGAATGTTCCACTCAACATTCTCGACGGTGAGTACCGATTTATGATGTTTGAATTTCTTTTAGTCTTGAATCAGAAACTTTCAATGGAGAGAAAGGCTATTGAATTTCCCTGTTGTAAATCAGGTCACCTCATCATTACGGACAACTTCGTAGCCCCTACATACATTTTTTTCTTCGGGGCTAACTAACTTTTAAGTAAAAGCTCATTTTAATGAGTCGCTGTGATTTTTAAAGAACTCTGTTAAAGATTAACAGTGTTACTTTTAAAATATGAATATTTGCTCTCTTATGCGTTATTTTCAGGAGGATCGTAAGGAAGGGATGACGGCCTTTGTAGAGAAAAGAAAGGCAGAATTTAAAGACAACTGAACTGGACTCGTATCATCTTAAGCCTTGGAGTGCATGAGGGTTGAGCATATCACTATAGAAACACTGTCTTGTGATGAAGCTTTGTACGCTTCGGTAGTTAGGAGGGAATAGTGCTGTGTGGACCAACATCACCTGCGTTTTTTATTATAATAATAATAATAAACTAATTTTACAATGCTGCCTCTTTTTGTCCGTCAGTTTGCTTCTGCTGATGCCGTTTTGTTGTCAGACCCTTTTGTTTGTTTTTACAACCGTACACAGAATTGCCCTTTTTAAAGTGTGTGCGGTTAATTTGGGAACGAAATCTCATTGTAAAAAACGTTCCAGTTATGGTAGAGACAAAGTTTCCAACAGACTATATTTTAATCAAGCCGTAACCATCATTTTGGTGCTGTAGAACTCATCCCAAGTCAGATTGCCGGTAGTAGATCGTCCTGTTTCAAATACTACTCTGAGCTTGTATCTAGGGTTTCTTACATTTTTTGGTTACTAAAGACCTCACTAAAGCTGCGTTCAATCAATGACTGGCTGTTTATCTCCTGTTCATATCCTCCTAAGGATTCTACTGAAAAAATTTGAGGGCGTTAGACCTAGAACCACTTTTTAAATTTCCTGTACACTTGTCTGTTGGAAAGTCTCAGGAAAATTACAGACAAACATATGGAAAATCTAAAGCAAGCCTCTGGAGAAATTTAAGCAAAGGTACGCTTCCAAAATTTTTTAGGACAATCCTTTGTTTTGTAGCTTAAGTTTACAATTGATATTTTTTTCAGAACAGCCGTTTTAAAGAAATTATTCGACATTAGATTCTCATACAAACGCTGTAATTTCTCACGTTTGCCTACTCGTCAAGATGGCGTCGAAAACCTAGACAATTTCTATTTACGAAACTCACTGCGAAAGTAAATCTTTTTGTCTCTTGCTTGGCTTTTAGCTTTAATGAAGTCGTTCGCGTGGCTTGTCAGTCGCGTAGTTGGTTTGTTCGCGATAGACTGAGCCTCGCGAATGACTCCGTAAACGCTTGAAGTGATCCACGATGCAAGAGAATTGCAAGACAGAAACGTCTGCTCACAGGGTCCGGTAAACTTTGCGCCATGATAGATTTTGCAGTGAATTTTGCCTGCTCAGAGAATCAGAGACCTTTTGCAGGAAAACGTTTTATTGCTGAATGTCATGTGACCTCGCAGTAACCAATGAGAGCGTATGCCGTTGTGGGAAACATTCCTCATTGCTGGGTCTCCCGTGTAGTACTTATTGAAGGAAGATGTCGTTGTTCGTGCTCACTAGTGTGTCGAAATCTTTTTAGTTTAGCCATAGTTAATTGAGTGGAATGGTTATGAAACCCGTCAGACTCCTTTGTTATGTGTTTTTGTGGACCTGAAAGTGCACAACGTTCAAAAGAATTCCTATCATTTTGATTGTATTGACCAATAAAAACATTAATTTATTCCGTAACAATTTTCCAACAGAAAACAAAGGATTGTGCACTTTCAGGGTGCTTCCAACATAAACTGCAGCACTGTTGTTTTTATCATTGATGTTTGCCGCTTTTCATAACCAGTCTCCTCTAATAACTATGATTCTTGCTAACGCTCTCCACTATTCGAAGCTCTTAATTTGCACTAAGTTAGCTGACATGCAAAAAATGCATTGTTAAAATTTGTAACTCTTATGAGTTGATTAGTCAAGGACTCTAAAATATGTTTTTATCCTGACAAGCTAAGAACTTATAAGTTTCTTCGATTTGTTATTTAAATGAGGGAAAAACACCGACAATTGAATGCAGAACGTTCGTTTATTAGGACGTATTGAAGTTGCATGCAATACATGAGACTTGCTAGGATTCACAGCATGAAATAATCGGTATTCGGTCTATCGTTCAGGCGGAATTCATTAAGAACGTAACTCCTAGTCCCATATACGAAAAATGCAAAGTGTGTAAGTGGCAGTTCAGTATAAAAGGCATAAATGCTAAGAAAATTAAAAGGATCTTATACACCTGTTCATGTTATTATTACTCACCAAAAGAAAACAACATCCTTACACGTTGGTGAACATAACCATCCATTTTAAGATAAAAATTAAAGTAATGCTTCCATGAATTTAATTTATTAAAATCATCACAAATCGCCAGAGGTGGCATCAAATCGTGTACTTGTTGAGCTCAGATAAAAAAGGTGATTAAAAGTTTTGCGTCTGCCCCTCAATAATTCTTGTTCGTGTAATGTTATCTACTCAGACGCTTCATTACTCACTCGGTATGAATTGATGTCTTAAAGTAGACATTAATTAATTAGTAGTGTCTTTAGCTTATAGATAGTGGTATTGCTGTTTATTTTAACACTCTATCTGCGGGACTACCATTTAGCATCTTAATTGTCGCTTACTTTATAGCTCAAGGATCTAGCTTACTGTTGCATGCAGAACACTATGAATAAATTATAGGAAAAAAAACTCCCACCACTGAAGTTTTAAACACTAGATGTATGATGAATTACTTCAATTGTTTCCAATTGCTTTTGTCTTTTTTGTTTGAAATCTTCGAATTAATTTTTTTTGCCTGGCGCTGCATGACACGAGGGCATTACAATAATCCTAAAGCTTGGAGTTGGTCAGTGTCGACTTTTTTTTGCCATATAGAATTATGTTTCGCCGCAACTAAAACACTGATAACACAATTTAGGCTTTTTCCGGAGGTCTAAATATCTCCCATGTTGCCATTTTAATACTTCTGAAAAGAAGTATTTGGCGATATCGTACAGCCTGTGTAGCCTGGGTGGACGGGGTATTTAAATGACGATCGTCATGTCTAGTTTGTAATTGGGTAGTCAGTTTCTGACTACAGACTGACGGGTCTTGGCTGAGTACTTCTGCGGACAGTCCCATTTTTTTCTGGCAATAAGTGAATTTAGTGCAATGGTTAATGGTTTTTATTAGTAGGCGGCCTTCAGAAAGTGGTCCCCTTGAGTTTAATATATACAGTTAATCCATTCAAGCAATGTAATTTACAGTAGCACTTATGAGACGTGAATTATTTAACGGTCTTGCCCTGTTTTAATTTAAAAAAATTCATTTGGTCCCTTTTATACTATAATTATGTCTTAAAAACAAGGGTGAATTTTCTGTAGATAAAATGATTCGCTGCTTTCTTTGTTTCAGGATATGAGACTTCATTATCAGAAGGTCTGCATTTTGAGAAAAGAATGTTCCACTCAACATTCTCGACGGTGAGTACCGATTTATGATGTTTGAATTTCTTTTAGTCTTGAATCAGAAACTTTCAATGGAGAGAAAGGCTATTGAATTTCCCTGTTGTAAATCAGGTCACCTCATCATTACGGACAACTTCGTAGCCCCTACATACATTTTTTTCTTCGGGGCTAACTAACTTTTAAGTAAAAGCTCATTTTAATGAGTCGCTGTGATTTTTAAAGAACTCTGTTAAAGATTAACAGTGTTACTTTTAAAATATGAATATTTGCTCTCTTATGCGTTATTTTCAGGAGGATCGTAAGGAAGGGATGACGGCCTTTGTAGAGAAAAGAAAGGCAGAATTTAAAGACAACTGAACTGGACTCGTATCATCTTAAGCCTTGGAGTGCATGAGGGTTGAGCATATCACTATAGAAACACTGTCTTGTGATGAAGCTTTGTACGCTTCGGTAGTTAGGAGGGAATAGTGCTGTGTGGACCAACATCACCTGCGTTTTTTATTATAATAATAATAATAAACTAATTTTACAATGCTGCCTCTTTTTGTCCGTCAGTTTGCTTCTGCTGATGCCGTTTTGTTGTCAGACCCTTTTGTTTGTTTTTACAACCGTACACAGAATTGCCCTTTTTAAAGTGTGTGCGGTTAATTTGGGAACGAAATCTCATTGTAAAAAACGTTCCAGTTATGGTAGAGACAAAGTTTCCAACAGACTATATTTTAATCAAGCCGTAACCATCATTTTGGTGCTGTAGAACTCATCCCAAGTCAGATTGCCGGTAGTAGATCGTCCTGTTTCAAATACTACTCTGAGCTTGTATCTAGGGTTTCTTACATTTTTTGGTTACTAAAGACCTCACTAAAGCTGCGTTCAATCAATGACTGGCTGTTTATCTCCTGTTCATATCCTCCTAAGGATTCTACTGAAAAAATTTGAGGGCGTTAGACCTAGAACCACTTTTTAAATTTCCTGTACACTTGTCTGTTGGAAAGTCTCAGGAAAATTACAGACAAACATATGGAAAATCTAAAGCAAGCCTCTGGAGAAATTTAAGCAAAGGTACGCTTCCAAAATTTTTTAGGACAATCCTTTGTTTTGTAGCTTAAGTTTACAATTGATATTTTTTTCAGAACAGCCGTTTTAAAGAAATTATTCGACATTAGATTCTCATACAAACGCTGTAATTTCTCACGTTTGCCTACTCGTCAAGATGGCGTCGAAAACCTAGACAATTTCTATTTACGAAACTCACTGCGAAAGTAAATCTTTTTGTCTCTTGCTTGGCTTTTAGCTTTAATGAAGTCGTTCGCGTGGCTTGTCAGTCGCGTAGTTGGTTTGTTCGCGATAGACTGAGCCTCGCGAATGACTCCGTAAACGCTTGAAGTGATCCACGATGCAAGAGAATTGCAAGACAGAAACGTCTGCTCACAGGGTCCGGTAAACTTTGCGCCATGATAGATTTTGCAGTGAATTTTGCCTGCTCAGAGAATCAGAGACCTTTTGCAGGAAAACGTTTTATTGCTGAATGTCATGTGACCTCGCAGTAACCAATGAGAGCGTATGCCGTTGTGGGAAACATTCCTCATTGCTGGGTCTCCCGTGTAGTACTTATTGAAGGAAGATGTCGTTGTTCGTGCTCACTAGTGTGTCGAAATCTTTTTAGTTTAGCCATAGTTAATTGAGTGGAATGGTTATGAAACCCGTCAGACTCCTTTGTTATGTGTTTTTGTGGACCTGAAAGTGCACAACGTTCAAAAGAATTCCTATCATTTTGATTGTATTGACCAA